GGCGAGAGAAATCCTTGCACCCAGTCTTACCCTGCCATCCATAACTCGCTGTTGAATGAATGGGCAGCCTGTGCATTTTCTGTTAATATCAAATGCAAGGTACTGCATATCTAGGATTTTTAACCAGTACAGTCATCTCTCTGTTTCAGTGACTTGAAACTTCAGCTGTAATTCTACTGTTTACGGCAGGGCGCTATGATGCATGTACCTTCCAAAATTAAGAGTACCTGGTACAGCCACTTTCTGGTCCCAGTGGCATCGCAGGGTGCGTGCGGGTACACCAAACTCTCGGCTATAATGGACCAGAGGCACACATGCAAAAAAAAAAAAAAAAACGCCTTCAAAGCTGCTGCCAATTAAGTTTGCCATATTTGCCTTTCTCAGACTTTTCTCTTATACGTTCTCGCCATTTTATCTTTAAATTACTAGTCGACAGTCCACTAGAAAGTGGCATACAACTTTTCAGACTTTCTTATCAGATTTATTTCTATATATTTAAAGATAAACAAATATAAAAAAAAAAAATAAATTCAAAAGTTGCCGCAGCATTATGTGCTCGCCTGCATTATTTTAACTAATGATAAATAAATGAGTTAATAATGATTATATAAAAGTAATAATAATTGTAATACCAATAATAATACTAATATTAAATAGAGCAACAGGGAAGGGGGGGGCATGGGCACAGAAGTGCGGGAAGTGCAAGACTAGTTGATCAGGGGAGGGAGAGGGTTGGTGGATGGAAGACCATCAAGGATGCCCTGACTAATCATTTTAACATTATCAATTAGAAACATTGAAACAATTTCAAAGATTTTATCATTATGTCCAGTTGTTAACTGATGATATTAATTCCAGATAGTTTGGAGCAAAGGGATAGGGCTTCAAACCTTAGACTGCTTTCAGCTCCTAGGCTAGGTATGTTAGAAAAGAGTATTTTTAAGCCACCTCAAGACTTAATAAGCTCTGGCCCTGGGCTTGGATGGATGTCACCAGAGAAAAGAAGCTTGAATTCTGACAGTCTTATATGTTCAACAGTCAACGTTTGGAAAGGAGTTCCTACAAAAAACTCAATTACGACTGACATCTCAACATAGCATTCACAACCTGGGTAGCTTGCTACATATAACAGTATTCTAACACATTCACTTAGCGCCATAAAACTTACAAGTTTTGGTTTTGGTTCAAACACGCCATTTGTATACAGAATCTATTTTTCAGTACTGCCGATAACCCCATATCTCAGCTGCATACATATAAGAATGTGTTTTACTGCTGAATCATATAGTTTAGAGGCTTCGTTGTGGTGGAAAAACCCAAAACATGACTGACATCTCAGTATAGCATTCACGCCCTAAATTGGTATAGCTTGCAGTGACAACTGCTCGGTAGTTTACGTTCACGACAGGCAGGTTTTGAACATTGTACACTTTACATTTCCCTTGTCCATTTCTTATAATGACTTTCTTTTTATTTTTGCTTTTGTCAAATCATATGCTATTTTTCTTAAAACTTTAATATTTTTTTATTTCATCAGTATGATAAATCTTTCATGTGAACCCAATTCCCAATTACAAATATCCGATAAGATATTATCCCGTAAATCGCTATATAGAAGACATTCTAACAAGAAGTGCCTTTCGCACTCGACTACCTCCCAATTACAACACTGACAAATTCTCTGATCCCCAGACTTACCACTGTGTCTACCTTCTTCAATTTAAAGTTGATAATTTGAATATATGAATTGTGCTAAAACTGAATCAGATATAGTTAATTAGTTAATTTTATTCCCACATATAATCAAAAGTATTTAATTAACGGACAAAGCATTATTATATGCGGGTTTAACCATTCTATTAGCTTTAATATTTGGTTAAACAAATTTCTTAACACTTACTCTAGCTAACAGCGAGGGGTTAGCTCTGCTAGTACGAGTTCATTGGGCGTCGACGTCCTTACTCCCATTAGGATCTTGAAAGCTGACAAGTACTGTACTTAACTACGGTTGACATAGCACCGCCACACTGCCATGCCTCACTGCCATACAAAATCGAGCTCAAGAGAACACTTTCCACTTTACCCAAAATGGAGAGTCCTGGTTCTTCTGTATGAACACAGGGAATTTGCATAAGTGTGATGGCTTGTTTAGTACGTGTTCTTTCACAGAGGTAGACACTTTGCCATCCTGGCTAAACACAGCACCAAAATAAGTAATATAATTCACAATTTTCCACTTTAAAACCTGGTACATGAATTGTCTCTCCATGGCTTGCGTCACAGTTGATTACCATAAACTGTGTCTTTACAGCTAGATTTATCAAATACTGTAACACATGGTTCAATAATGAGATAATGCTTAATTAACTTACATATATCTGGTTTCATTTCGTTACACCATGACTGGAAGTCAATATCCATGTACCTTTGATGAAATTCTTTTATAAATGAACTCTCATCCCCTACTCCTTGATTAATCCAGGCTATTCCAAAACCATATCAATAAAGAAAGTTTCTTTACTTGTAATGCCCAGCAAAATTATTGAAAAGAAAGTGAGCATAGATAAAGTTAGTATGGAAAAAGAAATTCATGGGTTTCATTGACATTGACCAATTGGAAATTAAAACATATATTGGAGATTTAAGAAAGAAAATAAAGAACGTAACAGACTGAAAGTGAGGGACATTACTAAGACTTAGTAAGAGCAGGATAGACTGAAAATAAAATATAAGTATCAGAGAAATAAATTGACTCAACTAACTGTTATTACACAAACAATACAGTGATCAGCACACATTCTCATGTATTACAACAGTGTATGAAATGGCCGCCTGCCCGCCAGCCCAAGGCTGGTAACTTTCGGGCCGGGCGGGTAAGATTTGCAAATTACCCGCCCGACGGGCTGGCTATTTTTACAGCCTATTTTCACCTTTTTATTTTGTCTATGTTCACAAGCGATTTCAGCAAAATATCAAATAAACTCACTGTTTTCACCCACTTTCATAGAAGCAAAGAACTAACCATAGCTTGCAATCGAACGCTCGTATCGAAATGTAACCAACAGTCTCCCTCTCAGTGGCCTCGTTTTCGAAGTTCCGTCTGTGTGATATGAAGTTGAAAGACAATTTGAAACGAGGCACATTGTTCTTAACCAGCTTCAGTGCACAGCAGATAACGTTATGTCATTGTTTTGTGTAGAGGAGATACCGCGAGTAGCAATTTGTAGGTTGAGATTAATAAAAATGTGAAAGTATAAAAAGTTATGATATTGATTAAATAGACTTATAGGTACATGAAGTGCTTATAATCAACAGTAATACAGGCAACGGAGGCAAATTAAAGGAGAATTTTACAAAAAATTTGATTCCCAAAATTATGAGTGAATGTACGAGTTTACGCCGTGCGTCAGATGTAGTTCTTTTCCCACGTGCTTTCATCTTGGGCTGTCAAAAATGAAAAAATTCTATCAAGTCCGATAGAGAAGTTCACAAAAGAAAAACAATTGAGGGAAGAAATAAAAAATAACAATTAAAGATTACGACAGAACCAAACGAAAGAGAACAAATTGGGACCCATGGAAAGGTGACTTCGATTTGCAATTAGTCGAGTGGCAACATTTTTTTGCAAAAACCGTAACTCGAAAGTATCACGCATTGTTACCGACTGCAAGTATCTCGATCCAATAACTCACACATACTCGCCCCATATAATATATTGTAGCCTCTATGTGATATATATAGCTATTCTCAATAAGCAATGCTTTCGAGATACGGGGCCCTGCAGGACTGTCTATGGGCCATTAGCGTGCAGGACCGTTCCCGACCGCTTTTTAAAGCTTAAAAGCGATATTCAAAGGGACCCTACGTGCTGAATTCTTTATTCTTTATTGTTAGCACAGAGATCGATTTATTTGACAACAATATATATTTGGTCATACTTGTTGCTGTACAGAAAAGCAAAAATTATGATCAAATGACATCACGAAATCGGAATAATAGTTAATAGTTATGAATAAATTATTGAAGAAGAAATGAGACAGCCTGCAAGGTGAACATAAACTGGATTGACTACCCCTGCCCTCCCCCGCCCGCTAAAGGGCCCTGAAAATTTTTGGTATTTTAGATGGTGAATGGTGCCCTTTGGTATGGTTTAGAACTATAATTTAACTAGTGAAAGTCTTATTTCAAGAGGTGAGGTTTTTTTACAGAAATTAAAAGGGGGGCGTCAGGACCCCCCTGACCCCCCTCTAAATCCAACACTGACAAGGTATCATTCAGTAGATCCAACCAATTTCTAAATTTCCATGCATAAGGCATGATATTGCCCTTTCATTTCCAAATTACTCTCCCAAGAATGCATTCTAGACCCCCTCAGCATACCTCTCTTAACTCTAGGGGTTATCATAACTAGGGCAGGTAACTACATGGCCTGGCTGGTAACTTTTCAGAGTTACCTGCCCGGCGGTCTGGCTAGTAATTTCCTTGAATTTCATACACTGATTACAATGTTAAGCTTCTTGTCATACCATATTGGTCTTGCATTGAGAATTTGAACTTTAATATATGTTCATGCTTCGGTTAAGGATAAACATTTAGGTTGATAAATGAAAGAACAGAGATATAATATTATTAATAATAGAATCTTGGGTCGAAGCACTCTTACAAATCATAGTTATTGCAAATAAGACATTTTGAAATAACTTAAAACAAATTATATATCTACACCTGGACTTCTTTTGATGATGTACATACTGACAAAATTATAGATCTAACATCTTAATTATTAAATGCTTCTCGAATATCTAGATCAAGAACATTTTGATATCAGTCTTGCATGTATACTAGCTGTCAATTGGATGCTCTCCTACATGTCATAGCAGGCATTTTGTAAAATGCCTCGGAGATGTTATAGAAATGTAGTCCATACAAAAACACACTGAAGACATCTTCATGACCAAGACAAGTGGTTGACTGGACTGTCTTTTTATTTCCAGCACCTTTCTGTACAACATGGTGGCTTCAAGGCAACAGCTGGCTGCATGGACATGTCTTTTTACAGGGAACAGACAGTTAAAGACCAGCAAGAACATTCCTGTAGCCTTCACCTCATTCACTGATATGTAAAACATGGGATGTGGCAAGTTTTGGGACAATACAAGTGGGACAATACACAGCCAGAGATGGGACGGCAATCTTGAGGATGGTAATCATTAGAATATTACAGTAATATATGACTGTCAAATAAATTGTAAGGTCTACTCGGAGGGAACCAACAAATTTTTTCTACAATGATTCTTTTCTTGACTCCAAAGTTTGAAACAATTTATGATCTCTTACAACTGTAATGTTTTCTCATTTTAACAGTGTCATCCAGTAATTAAGAAGTTATACACATGAAGGGAGTTTGTTTTCATGTTGGTGAATCCATTATCGAATCCATTATCAAATCCATTATCAAATCCATTATCGATTCAAACATTAGCAATTAACTACTGTTGAAAATACACTGAAAATCATGTAGCACAAAGTTACTTTTTCATTTAGCTAAAATGCTAAAATTTATGTTTTGAAAAATTGATCTATGATATTATGTAGTATTTGTATCTAGTTTTTTCCTACTTCAAGGAGGTCCAACATGATTTGATATTCTTCTAAGCAGAGGCCGGGGGAAGTTACATACAGAGAATTCTGGAGATTTTCAAGAGTGGATGCAGGTAATTTCAGTACTTTGTCATTTTCAGTTGACAAAAACCTATAGTTTCAATATTTAAAAACCTTTTGTTTTAAATTGTTAGTGAGATGTTTGTGTGGAACATTAACAGTGTCTAGGTATGTTGCCCTCTAAGGGCCCATTCGCAATATGAAACTACCGTTCTACAGAGATAGGCCATGGGGACTCTCACTGAATGCAATCAGAGTAACATACCTCTTCCTAGCATTGAGTAAAATACAGAAAAAAGCTGGTGATTATACGAGTTGGTGGAAACAGTTAAAATATATTTCACTGTGTGTTAATCTGATTGCATTCAGCCATAGTCCCTGCAAAGTTGGATCACTCTACATAGAATGATAGTTGCATTGGGAATGTGCCCTAAATCATAATAGTGGGCAAGTCCACTTTTAAGTTTTTTTTTTTTTTTTGAATGAATGAATGAATGTATTGTGTTCATGTTTTGCTAACAAGAATTCTAATGGGGCGCTACACTATTTCCTTTTCAGCTGGCAGAAGAAAGGGATTAGATTTATCAAATATTTTGACTTTCATCATTGGACTGATGGACATGCAGCTTCTGGGGTTATGGCACCANGACATTTTGAAATAACTTAAAACAAATTATATATCTACACCTGGACTTCTTTTGATGATGTACATACTGACAAAATTATAGATCTAACATCTTAATTATTAAATGCTTCTCGAATATCTAGATCAAGAACATTTTGATATCAGTCTTGCATGTATACTAGCTGTCAATTGGATGCTCTCCTACATGTCATAGCAGGCATTTTGTAAAATGCCTCGGAGATGTTATAGAAATGTAGTCCATACAAAAACACACTGAAGACATCTTCATGACCAAGACAAGTGGTTGACTGGACTGTCTTTTTATTTCCAGCACCTTTCTGTACAACATGGTGGCTTCAAGGCAACAGCTGGCTGCATGGACATGTCTTTTTACAGGGAACAGACAGTTAAAGACCAGCAAGAACATTCCTGTAGCCTTCACCTCATTCACTGATATGTAAAACATGGGATGTGGCAAGTTTTGGGACAATACAAGTGGGACAATACACAGCCAGAGATGGGACGGCAATCTTGAGGATGGTAATCATTAGAATATTACAGTAATATATGACTGTCAAATAAATTGTAAGGTCTACTCGGAGGGAACCAACAAATTTTTTCTACAATGATTCTTTTCTTGACTCCAAAGTTTGAAACAATTTATGATCTCTTACAACTGTAATGTTTTCTCATTTTAACAGTGTCATCCAGTAATTAAGAAGTTATACACATGAAGGGAGTTTGTTTTCATGTTGGTGAATCCATTATCGAATCCATTATCAAATCCATTATCAAATCCATTATCGATTCAAACATTAGCAATTAACTACTGTTGAAAATACACTGAAAATCATGTAGCACAAAGTTACTTTTTCATTTAGCTAAAATGCTAAAATTTATGTTTTGAAAAATTGATCTATGATATTATGTAGTATTTGTATCTAGTTTTTTCCTACTTCAAGGAGGTCCAACATGATTTGATATTCTTCTAAGCAGAGGCCGGGGGAAGTTACATACAGAGAATTCTGGAGATTTTCAAGAGTGGATGCAGGTAATTTCAGTACTTTGTCATTTTCAGTTGACAAAAACCTATAGTTTCAATATTTAAAAACCTTTTGTTTTAAATTGTTAGTGAGATGTTTGTGTGGAACATTAACAGTGTCTAGGTATGTTGCCCTCTAAGGGCCCATTCGCAATATGAAACTACCGTTCTACAGAGATAGGCCATGGGGACTCTCACTGAATGCAATCAGAGTAACATACCTCTTCCTAGCATTGAGTAAAATACAGAAAAAAGCTGGTGATTATACGAGTTGGTGGAAACAGTTAAAATATATTTCACTGTGTGTTAATCTGATTGCATTCAGCCATAGTCCCTGCAAAGTTGGATCACTCTACATAGAATGATAGTTGCATTGGGAATGTGCCCTAAATCATAATAGTGGGCAAGTCCACTTTTAAGTTTTTTTTTTTTTTTTTTTTTTTTTTTTTTTTTTTTTTTTTTTGAATGAATGAATGTATTGTGTTCATGTTATGCTAACAAGAATTCTAATGGGGTGCTATACTATTTCCTTTTCAGCTGGCAGAAGAAAGGGATTAGATTTATCAAATATTTTAACTTTCATCATTGGACTGATGGACATGCAGCTTCTGGGGTTTCGGCACCAACTGGTAGTCGCATTTTCTGTTACTATGGAATTCTTTTTGCATGCCTACAGAAAGTACTGGTTTGTGTGCACGTGCATTGAGCTTACGATTGCCTTTACTAGGAGGCGAGAAGCATCACAAGAACAACTATTTGATTTGTAGGACTTACATGTAGCTTTTCTATCACTACACATATTATGGACTATGCTATTGAAGTCCCATACACTGTGCATATTAAATGTCAGCCGTGTATTTCTGTTAGTATTGGATCGAGATTATTATCACGTTTTAGTGCACTAGGAGTACTTGTGTGTGTAAGTACGCGGGCAGTGATCAAGAACTTTCAAATGAGAAGTTCAGTGAAAAGGAAACAGTCATATAGGTATAAATTATGGCAGTCTGTAAACACTGACGTTTGAAAAAAATTTTATTTGACAGTTTTACTGAAATATGCTTGATTATGAAGATAAACAATACCCTTAAAGAGTACAAATAATACTTTTTTAACAGAACAAGAATATATGGTAAATAGTGAAAAGTTTATTTGATATTTACTGAAGCATGCTTGATTATATACATAAACAGTATCTTGTAAGAGATACAAATAATATTGTTTAACAACATTGGCAAGAATATAGACTATAAAGTGTAAATTATGTATGAGATTTAGGTATTCAGTTTGTTCACCTGGGGTCGTATTCTCAAAAGGTTGTAACTTACAAATTCTTGTAACTTTTCACGTAAGTCTGATCATTTACATAAGTTGAAGGTTTGTAAGATACAAACTCTTGTAAATATGCACGTAAATTTACAACTGCCTCCGACCTGTTAAAAGTAAGTTGTAAGATACAAATTCACGTAAATAGTTACAAATTGTTGTAAGTTACAGAGTTATGAGAATACGGCCCTTGGCATATAGACAACAAGCTGGCAAAGGATACTGTTGACTCCTTCAGCTCATGAATATGGTTGGAAAAAAATAGGCAGTGGGAGCCAGAGTGGATATCTGAGTACCCAGAGCATGTCAAGATAATAATAAACAGGTATAAAATATTGACATTTGAACAAGCCTGTTCAAAACTATTTCTGGGAAAATTTTCAAATCCAAAAATATCCAAAGTAAAGAAATAAGATTTATCTATAAAACACTGCTCTGGCAGTAACACAAACACACACATACATACACACACACACACACACACACACACACACACACACACACACCAGCCCATGCATGCATATATTATACAAACAATTCAACTTGTCTCTGTAACAATTGGTAAATATATGAAGTACGATAATTTTAATTAAAATTCAATAAAACATTGAATGATATACATGATGATTGTTACATATACACTGATTCAGATATAATTATGTATAATAAGACAAAGACCCCATTTCCAGAGATTAGATCGATCTACTTTAGATTGACCTAACTCCCTGGGGGTTCACGCTAAATAGCTGTGAGCCGGGCGGACACGAAAGTTAATTACCCCCTTACAGCTTGTAGTAGGCGGGACGGACATTTAAGCCGGATTATCTGACAGTAATCTAGTGAGACTCCCCGTGGGGATAGATCGATCTAAAAGCTCTGGGAATACAGCCAAAGGTACTCACACATCAATGCACATGTACACACTCACCTTTATAGTATATTTAAATTTGTCACAATTATAGTAACTGTTATGATTATTTAAAACATATCACCACTGGTACATGTAACTATACATAATTAACTCGGCATTTTTTTACAAAATACGTCAAGAATATATTTAATGAAAAAACACTGAAATAAAGTAATATTTCTACTCTAAGATATGCATCAACCTAGCCAACGAGCTGCTGCACCAGTATTTCAATGAGTATATATCTTTGAGTGAGAACAGCAGGACTATGCCGCAGAAGGAATCGCCATAACAGATATATTGTTTATCAGTCACAAGCCCACTGTGGACCTGTTTCTGGCGGCATTGGGCAAGGTCAGTACTTTGGTATTCTATGAGGTCTTTTGGGTTACATTTTATTACTGAAGGCAGCATCTTAAACGAGTAGCTTGGTTAGTTTCCATTGGTTCTTCTTCCCTCTGGGATGGCTTGTAAAGGCAAGCCTGTATCTGATGCAATGAAGGGTGGATTCTAGAAACGCTGCTGCAGTGCATTGGCACTTCACCTGATGTGTCACTTGCTGAACCAACTAATATTCCAATGATAGCCCTTTTGCCATTTTCAAATTCCACATACACAGCAGATCCAGAGTCTCCATCTTTAGAAAATGTTGGTTTATCAAGAGTTGGGATGCTTAAAACTGTTATCATATTTGAAAGTGATTTAGTTAATGGAGGAACACCATCAGTGAGTTTACTATTATTGCAGTAATCATACTCGGAATTGACCACCCCAGTTGTCAGCCCCGTGGTTGCACCAAATTTGGACACAAGTATAGGGTCACGGATACTACACATATCTTCTATATCCACATCACTGAATGATGTTTGCTGTGATTGTATCGGAAACAAATTGGCTTCAGCATTTTCATTTAATTCCACAAGTGCAATGTCTACACCATTTGGACTATTTGAGCCAGACCCATAGCAGGTCCGTAGCCAGGGGGGGTTCGAAAGAACCCCCCTNCCATCTAGGTATAAATTATGTCAGTCTGTAAACACTGACGTTTGAAAAAAATTTTATTTGACATTTACTGAAATATGCTTGATTATGAACATAAACAATACCCTTAAAGAGTACAAATAATACTTTTTTAACAGAACAAGAATATATGGTAAATAGTGAAAAGTTTATTTGATATTTACTGAAGCATGCTTGATTATATACATAAACAGTATCTTGTAAGAGATACAAATAATATTGTTTAACAACATTGGTAAGACTATATAGTGTAAATTATGTATGAGATTTAGGTATTCAGTTTGTTCACCTGGGGTCGTATTCTCAAAAGGTTGTAACTTACAAATTCTTGTAACTTTTCACGTAAGTCTGATCATTTACATAAGTTGGTATTCTTGAAGGTTTGTAAGTTACAAACTCTTGTAAATATGCACGTAAATTTACAACTGCCTCCGACCTGTTAAAAGTAAGTTGTAAGATACAAATTCACATCAAATATAGTTACAAATTGTTGTAAGTTACAAAGTTATGAGAATACGGCCCTTGGCATATAGACAACAAGCTGGCAAATGATACTGTTGACTCCTTCAGCTCATGAATATGGTTGGAAAAAAATAGGCAGTGGGAGCCAGAGTGGATAACTGAGTACCCAGAGCATGTCAAGATAATAATAAACAGGTATAAGATATTGACATTTGAACAAGCCTGTTCAAACTATTTCTGGGAAAATTTTCAAATCCAAAAATATCCAAGATTCCTATCTGAACAGAAGAGAAGTTACTTAGTCTAAAAGGCTGCATAAACTGTGCCTTTCTTTGCATTTTTAAAACTGTTAAAACTCTAAAACATAGCTGAACAAAAACATGGAATGCAATACATGTCTAGTATACTGGTATTTATACATAGGCAATATAAAAAATAGTTATGAATAGGTAAACATTTTAAGAAGAAATAATGGGAATCATAATTATTAACAATGTGATTTACTTAAATTAATTTTCTTACACACACAGGTGGACAAATAAAATACACACACACACACACACACACACACACACAACGGCCCATGCATGCATATATAATACGAACAATTCAACTTTTCTCTGTAATTAAAATACAATAAAACATTGAATGATATACATGATGATTGTTACATATACACTGATTCAGATATAATTATGTATAAAAAGACAAAGGTACTCACACATCAATGTACATGTACAGACTCACTTTTATAGTATAGTGAAATTTGTCACAATTACAGTAACTGTTAAGATAATTTAAAACATATCACCACTAGTAACTATGCATAATCTAATCAACTCTGCACTTCTTTACAAAATATGTCAAGAATATATTTTAATGAAAGACATTGAAATAAAGTTAATATTTCTACTCTAAGATATGCATCAACCTAGCCAACAAGCAGCTGCACCAGTATTTCAGTGAGTACATCTTTGAGCGGGAACAGCAGGACTGTGCCGCAGAGGGAATCGCCATGACAGATATATTGTTTATCAGTAACAAGTCCACTGTGGACCTGTTTCTGGCGGCAAGGTCAGTACTTTGGTATTCTGTGGTCTTTCTTAAACTGGTGGCTTGGTTAGTTTCCTGGGGTTTTTCTTCCCTCTGGGATGGCTAGTAAAGGCAAGCCTGCATCTGATGCAATGAAGGGTGGATTCTAGAAACGATGCCGCAGTGCACTGGGACTTCACCTGATGTGTCACTAGCTGAACCAACTAATATTCCAATGATAACTTTTTTGCCATTTTCCAATTCCACATACACTGCAGATCCAGAGTCCCCTTTCTTAGAAAATGTCGGTTTATCAAGAGTAGGGATACTTAAAACTGTTATCATATTTGAAAGTGATTTGGTAACTGAAGGAACACCATCAATGAGTTCAATATCACGGCAGTAATCATACTCAAAACTGACCGCCCCATGTGTCAGCCCCGTGGTTGCACCAAATTTGTGCACAAGGATAGGGTTCTCTTCATCATTATATATATCTTCTACATCTCTTATATCCACATCACTGAATGATGTTTGCTGTGATTGTATCGGAAACAAATTGGCTTCAGCATTTTTATTTAATTCCACTAGTGCAATGTCTACACCATATGATCTCTCTGAGCCAAACCCATTGTCAAGTTTAACATCACCTACATAACATTTGCTAACAAACCCACATTTTTTCCAAGTTTGGTTGTTTTCAACATAGACAGATTTGTTAATTGCTGTTTCAGCCTCTTTGCTGTAAGGGCAAACTACATGGGCACATGTAACAAATGCCTGTGGCTGGGCTGATGCATGACCACCCCTGTGGTGATTAACAAATACCCCAAGACTACCCTGCAGCTGGCTACTAGAAGCTACAGAGCATCCAATATGTAACTGACTATGATCATTATCTCTGCTTCCTTCATAGTCAGCATTAAGAGAAAGTGTCCCTTCCCTAACTTCAACTGGATACCCCTCAAGCTCTTTGGGAAAGTGTGCCAAGTTTGTTATGTCACTGCAGTATACTGCAATACAAGGCTTTTTCTCACCAGCGCCATCTGCTTGAATCCTTGAAATAGATATTCTTGAGATGTTGGGATATATTTGTTGCAAGGAGACTGAATGTTTCTGGATGGCTGCTCCCATTTCTTTCCTAATATCACGTGGAACAAGATCTCTTGTTATCTCTTCTAGGACTTCTTTGCTTATAAAGTCTGGAACTGTGAAAAATGGTTTGGAAATGAAGCAAAATCAGATGTGAACTTTGTTTAGATGGCCAACAGTATATATTTTTGAGTACATGAATGAATAAGGTGAACAAATGTGATCAAAAAGTTCTTTATAGAACTTATATTTACTGCGAAGTATTAAGATGACATTCAAGATTTTATTTACCTTTGCATTTAAGTAGCTTATCTGCAGGTTTGGGCTTGTTTGATGAAGCACTTGTATCTGCTGTATCAGCTGACATACTTTGTCCTGCTTGTCTGAAACAATAATAAAGATGATGTGACAACAGACTTTGATAGTCTTTTGAGATGATAGATGGCACAGTGGACATTTATTTATTTGGTCACCATTACATATTTGTGCTCATTGTGAACTTGGAAACGGTATTTACCAGAAATGTTTTAAAAAAAAGAATGTCAAGTTAGATTAGCTAAGGGTGCAGTCTACATGAAAACATTCTAAATCATAAAAGTTTTTTTATAAAATTGGCTGGACAACAACAGTGTTCTGTTTAATTTTGCTGCATAATGTATATGTCATAGAGAAGATTAGTTTTTTGTGGTCTTTCTTATCCAACCTTGAAGGTGATATTTTAATGCAGTTTGCTTTGATAAGATAAAATACAGACATTCTGTGTAAAATGCATGCATGATGATAATTACTGATGTTAATCACATTGAGATGCACTTCTCTCTTGTTCAAAGGATGTAAAGAAAAGTATTTAAAATTATCCAATAGTTGACATTTTCCTGTTTGAGTATTTGAACAAACATGACAACCATGTCATGGTCTTGAAGCCTTAGTTTATGATTGATAAATTGTGGATACAGTTGCATTGCATTCAATGAAGATTTTATAAGCTGTTTGCAAATAATTGTTACCTTCTGTCCAATGAACTTGCCAATTTTGATCCTTTGCTGCTGGTGCTGCTGCTGCTGCTTCCATCTGTAAAAACAATAGAAGCTATCCTGCTCAGGGAAATGTATATGATGATAACTATTAATGTGTATAATACTTAATTCTATTTCTAGGCTTACAATTTTTAAGTAAGGTTTTACATTTTTATGAGGATTTCTGCTGGGTACTGGCTAGATGAGATGAGTGGTGAACTGTTTAGAAAGTTACCTGTTAGTCTAAATTATCTATACAATACCATGTAATAGCAGTGATATTCTGGTGAAAAGAGAGCACCATTACAAATTGAAAAGTATGATCTGTTTGAAGCATAGTAGATGCAAAAGATATAATTATGTGAAATTTACCATCTATTCCTTTGTATTGTTTTCCCCTCTCCTCCAATCCCTTGAACCCCTTCATTGATGCAAAGTAGTGGTGTATGTCTTCTTTCCCCATCTGATCCTTCATTGGTGATGGCACAACGTAATTTCCTTTCAGGCTGAGACAATCCAAATGTTTAAGATCCATGAGCTGATGTGGAAGATGAGTGATTCTGTTGTCATATGTCCAGGTGCAGTAGTGATTGAATTTTGCATATGTCTTCAGGGACGTGTGTAAAATTATTATGTAGAAGTTCCAGATTTGTGAGTTTGGTCATTTTGATGACATCAGGATGTACACTTGAGATTTTGTTCCAATTCATTCCCAGTATCTTAAGCTCTGGAATGTTGCATACTTCAGCTGGAAAATCTGTAAACTGGTTTTCACTAAGTTCCAGATTTGTGAGTTTGGTCATTTTGATGACATCAGGATGTACACTTGAGATTTTGTTCCTANGTGCGTGTGCAAGTAATAGCGGAAAATCCCCGAGACGTTTTCTAATGCCTTGTCAAGGAGCGCATTTGCACCTAAGCGCTGCTGTGCTGTCAGCAGCAGTACAATTCTGCTAAACTGCGCGTAACATGTTATTAACATCTCTTATTAGACTACGTTTTTTAATGTCAAATCTAGCTTTGTTTTATATTATTTGTAAGAGCAACACCTGCCCTTTTATATGGTATAAAAATATAGGGGGTTACTATTAAATTTGATACTGAAATTAAACCTTGAAAATGACCTTTTTGGCGCTTTTAAGCAGGTTTTTCTATGCGTTATATGCTTGCTGCCGGTACCTACTGACTATGATCATTATCTCTGTTTCCTTCATTGTCAGCATTAAGAGAAAATGTCCCTTCCCTGACTTCAACTGGATACCCCTCAAACTTTTCAGGAAAGTGTGCCATGTTTGTTATGTCACTGCAGTATACTGCAATACAAGGCTTTTTCTCACCAGCGCCATCTGCTTGAATCCTTGAAATAGATATTCTTGAGATGTTGGGATATCTTTGTTGCAAGGAGACTGAATGTTTCTGGATGGCTGCTCCCATTTCTTTCCTAATATCACGTGGAACAAGATCTCTTGTTATCTTTTCTAGGACTTCTTTGCTTATAAAGTCTGGAACTGTGAAAAATGGTTTGGAAATGAAGCAAAATCAGAAGTGAACTTTGTTTAGATGGCCAACAGTATATATTTTTGAGTACATGAATGAATAAGGTGACCAAATGTGATCAAAAAGTTCTTTACAGAACTTATTTACTGCCAAATATTATTTACCTTTGCATTTAAGTAGCTTTTCTGCAGGTTTGGGCTTCTTACATAAAGCACTTGTGTCTGCTGTATCTGACATGCTTTGTCCTGCTTGTCTAAAACAATAATAAAGATGATGTGGCAACAGACTTTGATAGTCTTTTAAGATGATAGATGGCACAGCTAGTGGACATTTATTTATTTGGTCACCATACTGCCACAAAATAAGACCATTACATATTTGTGCTCATTGTGAACTTGGAAACGGTATTTACCAGAAATGTTTTAAAAAAAAGAATGTCAAGTTAGATTAGCTAAGGGTGCAGTCTACATGAAAACATTCTAAATCATAAAAGTTTTTTTATAAAATTGGCTGGACAACAACAGTGTTCTGTTTAATTTTGCTGCATAATGTATATGTCATAGAGAAGATTAGTTTTTTGTGGTCTTTCTTATCCAACCTTGAAGGTGATATTTTAGTGCGGTTTGCTTTGATAAGATAAAATACAGACATTCTGTGTAAAATGCATGCATGATGATAATTATACTGATGTTAATCACATTGAGATGCACTTCTCTCTTGTTCAAAGGATGTAAAGAAAAGTATTTAAAATTATCCAATAGGTGACATTTTCCTGTTTGAGTATTTGAACAAACATGACAACCATGTCATGGTCTTGAAGCCTTAGTTGATGATTGATAAATTGTGGATACAGTTGCATTGTATGAAAACTGCTGTTTTTCAATGAAGATTTTATAAGCTATTTGCATATAATTGTTACCTTCTATCCAATGAACTTGCCAATTTTGATCCTTTACTGCTGCTTCCATCTGTAAAAAACAATAGAAGCTATCATGCTCAGGGAAATGTATATGATGATAACTATTAATGTGTATAATACTTTATTCTATTTCTAGGCTTACAATTTTTAAGTAAGGTTTTACATTTTTATGAGGATTTCTGCTGGGTACTGGCTAGATCAGATGAGTGGTGAACTGTTTAGAAAGTTACCTGTTAGTCTAAATTATCTATACAATACCATGTAATAGCAGTGATATTCTGGTGAAAAGAGAGCACCATTACAAATTGAAAAGTATGATCTGTTTGAAGCATAGTAGATGCAAAAGATATAATTATGTGCCATTTACCATCTATTCCTTTGTATTGTTTTCCCCTCTCCTCCAATCCTTGAACCCCTTCATTGATGCAAAGTAGTGGTGTATGTCTTCTTTCCCCATCTGATCCTTCATTGGTGATGGCACAAATTAAGGTAATTTCCCTTCAGGCTGTGACAATCCAAATGTTTAAGATCCATGAGCTAATGTGGAAGATGAGTGATTCTGTTATGTGATATGTCCAGGTGCAGTATAGTGATTGAATTTTGCATATGTCTTCAGGGACGTGTGTAAAATTATGATTTTGAAGTTCCAGATTTGTGAGTTTGGTCATGTTTATGACATCAGGATGTACACTTGACATTTTGTTCCTATTCATTTTCAGTGTCTGAAGCTCTGAAATGTGGCATACTTCAGCTGGAAAATCTGTAAACTTGTTTTCACTAAGTTCCAGATTTGTGAGTTTGGTCATTTTGATGACATCAGGATGTACATTTGAGATTTTGTTCCAATTCATTCCCAGTATCTTAAGCTCTGGAATGTTGCATACTTCAGCTGGAAAATCTGTGAACTCATTGGAACCAAGGTCAAGTTTTGTGAGTTTGGTCATGTTTATGACATAAGGATGTACACTTGAGATTTTGTTCCAATTCATTTTCAGTGTTTCAAGCTCTGAAATGTGGCATACTTCAGCAGGAAAATCTGTGAACTGGTTTTGATCAAGGTCCAGATTTGTGAGTTTGGTCATTTTGATGACATCAGGATGTACACTTGAGATTTTGTTCCTATTCATTCCCAGTATCTTAAGCTCTGGAATGTTGCATACTTCAGCTGGAAAATCTGTAAACTGGTTTTTTTCAAGGTCCAGATTTGTGAGTTTGGTCATTTTGATGACATCAGGATGTACACTTGAGATTTTGTTCCTATTCATTCCCAGTATCTTAAGCTCTGGAATGTTGCATACTCCTGCTGGAAAATCTGTGAACTCATTGCAACCAAGGTCAAGTTTTGTGAGTTTGGTCATTTTTGTGACATCAGGATGTACACTGGAGATTTTGTTCTGATAAATGTTCAGTGTCTCAAGCTCTGGAATGTGGCATACTTCAGCTGGAAAATCTATGAACTGGTTTGAACCGAGATCCAAGTACATAAGATTGGTCAACTTGTTGACATCTGGGTGAAGACTGGTGAGTTTGTTGTTCCTTATATTCAGTTCTTTTAATTCTGACAAAGAACAAATTTGAGTTGGAAACTCTTTGAAATCATTATGCCCAAGGTCAAACTTCCTCAGATGTTTTAGCTGCGAAATAGAGTCAGGGAGATGTGTTAGATGATTCCATGATAAATTTAAGTACTGTAGATTACTGCAGCTACTAATGCTGGATGGTAGACTAGTCATCTGTCTGGACTGCAGCCACAGATCTGTCAATTGGTTCATTTCCTGCCATGATGGCTCAGTTTTTTTCCCCTTTTCCAATTCTTGGAGAATAAGAAGTACATCTTTTCTTTCCCTTTCTTTATAAGCCATTGTTCAAATTTTTATCTTCAACAAGTCTACTCCAATGTACCTGTATATTTTCATAAATTTGAATTAAGAAGACCTTGTTCCAGTGGCCACGCTGTAGTATTATGTGTCCTTTTTGAAGGTATCTTCTCTGTTGAGTCTTGTTCCACCAATAAATTTTCTAAGCTCTTTGGTATAAAAACTGATGGAGTTTTTAGCAGGCAGAGCAAATAGGTTCCTGGGAAAGTCTGGTCTGTAATTATAATTAATAGGTAGTAGAAGATTACCTTAACATACTCTAATTACTGCATCAGCAACAAAATGAATAAGTTATGAGTATGAACATGTATATCATAGATCAGATTGCAAAATTCCTGTAGATGTACTATTATTTGGTGGACTTGTGGTGATTTTGCAGCAAGGCAGGATTATGTAATTTTACCTGCAACATGGAGTTGTAAAATAATTAGGTCTTTTTTTACAGATGTAGGAGGCATAACAATGGTAAGATGTTTAACACTCAGTATAATTAATTGGTAAGAATTTGAAGTAATGTGTATCCTTATTATGACCACCTGCAGGCCTACCCAACTACCAGAAGCAGCTCCAAAGGATCCAGAATTCACCGTAGATCGGATTGCACTACCGGTTTTAAAAGTGAGTATCAGTACGCATTTTACAGTATATCATACACTGGGACAAATTTTGTACGACAACCGCAAGCTCTATACCTGTCATATCTGGGTATTGCACCTTGTTTTCTTCAACTAGGAGTTGTATATATAACATTATAGTTTTGTTTAATCCTCACGCCTACCCAACTACCAGACTCGGCACATAAGGATCCTGAATTAAGCGGTATATCGGACCACACTACACGTTTTCAAGGTGTGTGTCAGATCGCATTTTGGAGTATCATACCCAAGAACAAATTTTGCAGGACAAACTCGGGCTCATCCTGTCAGTGTTCTGACTGTGTATCAAGGTGGATGGTAGACTGAATCTGAAAATTTAATGAAGAATGTCAAATTTTCTAGGCGCAATTCCTGTCAACTCAAAGTTTCAGTAGAGGCTGCAATGCACTGCATTGTTCATGACTCAGCACAGCTGAGGTATCCAGTTTAGGGTTAATAATAGAGAGTTTCCGGTGCAGTTGGGATACGACGGCTAGATTGTTACGTATGTGCTAATGTATCCAGTAACACGCTTCTCTCTTCGCGTTCCGGTAATGTCCTGGAATGCTGGCGCTCATTCCAATATAATAATAACAATATACGGCCCCGTAGTCATCTATTTCCAAGGGGGGGGGGGAGATTCTTTTTTATGAAAAGGAGACAAATACATGTATTACCCAAAAGTGCAATTTTTCCCGACAAAAATGGCGGTTCGTAAGAACCCCACGATCAACCCCCGACTAGGTGCCTGATAAACCAAAACTAGCGGCTCCTCTCTGTCGAAATTTGCATGAACGTACACTTGAACTATTTTAAAAAAGTATATAAGTCATATAAATTAGCAAACAAAACCTTTAATAACTATTTTCAATAATCTTCCGCACTGGCTAGATAGGAGCGCTTGTATTCCGCAGACAAGATGGGATCACTCGGCTCACCATCGATTGATTCCTGCGTCATCATATCTCGGCCGTATGACAGACGTCGCCATTTTGGAAGTAGTGCAAACTACTCTAGATACCCGGATGTAAACAATAATAAACATGGCGGCGCCCTGACAGGACATTCAGAACTCCTTCGAACAATATCCTCAGTGTTTCCAGTTGTTTTTCACGTAGTTTGAAGTCGTTGATCTTTAAAAAGTGGGCAGGAAGATAGTGCATATTCAATACATTCGTCAAATGACGCCATATTTGTTAGATCCACGCGTTTTGGGGGAACTATATTGTTTTGATTGCGGTATACATAAGTGATGCGGCGCCGTCCATCCGGGTTCTTGACCTGATCACATATGTTGTGCGTAGGCGACATTTTTTACTGTCATACATCCGAGACTAGTTTCAAGGCATTCGGAAGATAGCCGGAAATTGTCGAGGAGTTCCGAATGTAGATGGGATGACGGTATATGAATGCGGTGAACGTCACAATTAGTGCGCACAAACCGATGACGTATTAATCTAGCCGGCGTATCTCACCGGCAACGGAAACTCTCTAATTTAGTTAACCTTACAGTTCTAAGGGCTATTACGCTGTTCTTTTCACCCTCCCACCTCAGATTTTTGATAAAAATATATAATTGCTCTTTATAAAATATAAACTTTTCCTATTCTCCTAGTCCATCAAAGTCTCTTCTTCTTCAGTCTGTGTCTAGATATGTAGTGCCACAGTAGTATGTACTATGTACCGGTACAAATAATTAACTAGGTTGCACATATAGAGCTGCCCCACCCAAGTTTTTTTCTTAGCCTGTGGCCATGATTGCTGATTGTTCTGTCATTGTGAAGTGTACTTTTTCTTACATCAATGAATTTGCTTCTTACAAATGCGTTCTAATAAGGTGACCAGTTGTATCATACCTTTGTTCAGAAGGTTGTGAAGAATGTCAAATTTTCTAGCCACAATTCTTGTTACCTCAAGGTGTCAGCTGAGGCTGTGACGCATTAGGTTGTTCATGACCTAAATCTGTTTGTACTTCTTTTCTGCTGTTTTGTTAAAACATTCTGTAGCATGTCTTGGGTTTCCATTATTATAGCCTTCACTCTGTGTATTGAAAAATATGTTTTACTACTCCTTATGGTTGTCAGGGCTGTTATTTCCTCTCCCCTCCCCACTCCAAGATTTTTGAAAAATATTTCTTTATTCTTGTGAAAAAGAGTTAACAGACGTGTTTAATGCATCAATTTGTACCATAGAAAGTTAATCAAAACATTTAATATTCACCCAATATAAATATTGAGTAGGATTAGAATATATTCATGTTTTATCTACATTTCCAAAGATGTTGAATTCGCCAACCTTAATAATACTCATAGCTAAAATTTTTCATCGGAAATGGACTTTTTGACCCATTTTGCCTATATAAATACCTGTATCATTGGAATTTTTTTAAGGTTCTAATTCGCTATACCATGACATTGTAGTTAATGCTTTCATTGCTGTGACCTACCCAAGCATTTCTATATACAGACACTTCGCTGTCGATGGTGTTGTCGCTGTCCCTGTCCGACACATGACGTTCACCCCATAACTGCCAAACTGTATTTACGGTAATTATTCTGGCTTTTTGCACAATTGTGGTTACATTCACCCTATAACTGTCAAGCCATATTGTTGTTTTACATAAATGTACTGAGTGGCTTTGCTTGGCAAAGAAGCAGGTTGCTTTAAAAATTGGCATGATCAGTGTATACACTTATTTTAAGTATTCTCTTTTTTTGCACAATTGTGGTGCTGTTCACCCCATAACTGACAGGCTGTATTGTTGTTTCACATTAAATTTACTGAGTGGCTTTGTTTGGCAAAGATACAGGTTGCTTTCAAAAGTCTCCATCAGTGTACATCTTACAAATTTGTTATAATAAGGTGACCAGTTGTATTATAATAACGGTAATTATTCTGTTTTTTGTGAACAATTTTGGTGCTGTTCACCCCATAACTGCCAAACCGTATTGTTGTTTCACATTAAATTTACTGAGTGGCTTTGTTTGGCAAAGAAGCAGGTTGCTCTTAAAATTGACATGATTGGTTCACATTTATGGTTTATGGTTTACATTATGGTAATCATAATTAAAAGTGTTCTTTTGACATTTTCTACATTTTAACAATATTTTTAGTTTACTATGTAAAAATGATGGTAAACCTGTTATTGTGTATTGTGTAATAAAGTATCAAAAATGGAAATAAACTCACATCATTGCAGTTTGTCACTATGTTCATAATGGAGAAAGTTGGACATTTAAAATTGTTCAATTGAAGTTTTTCCAAAATTTTATTAATTGATCATATAAAAATGACAGTAAATTGATTGTTTTGTTTTATGTAAAAAAATGTGTTGAAAATGGAAATTAACTCATTTCAGTACAGTTAACTTGCTTACATTTTGGGATTTTCAAGGCATGACTCTGAAGTTCCATGGGCTTGAAGACTTTTGCTAGTCACATTTTCTGAATATCCGTGATACTTTTATTTTATTTTTAAAAATTGATGGTTTGAAGGCTTTTGTTGGTCACATTTTCTCAATATCCATGACACTTTTACTTTATTATTTTTTTTTAAATTAAAATTGATGGTCAATATGATTTTAAGCATTATGTAATATTGCATCAAAATTGAAAACCCTCTTTTGGGCACTTCTGCCATAGTGACCATTCTCAAACTTACAGGAAAGAAACATGGGACTTAAATACAGCTTAAGCTGGAAAACAAGTGTTATATACATGTTTTTGTGAAAATTTAATTTATATGTTTTTGTGAAAATTTAATTTTTGTGAAAATGTACATATTTTTGTGAAAATTTAATTTTTCATATATTGGCAATTTCAAGATGTGACTTTGAACCTCCGTGGGCTTGAAGACCTTTGCTCTTCACATTTTCTGAATACTCATGATGAATGCTGTACATGTTTAATATTGCAAATAAGTTTTCAAAAATATATATATATATTGTGTAATACCAGCATTATATAAATAACAGTGCCTTATTATCTTCAATGGGGTCATTCACATCATGTTGATACAGTTAGATTAAAAGTTTGAATAGCTGCTTTATTGGACTACTTTTTGTTATGTTTTATTTATTTATTTTTTTTTTCAAACACTGGCATTTGCAAGATGTGACTTTTAACTCCCTTCCACCAGAATCTCTGAACATTTTCTGTATTTACACAAAAGCAATAGTATTGGTGTTTATGTCTCTAAACATTATGTAATATTATGTTATGCACTGTCATCATTTTTTATATATTGGGATTTTCATTATGTGAATTTGAACTCTCATGGTCCTGAAACTGTAATCTTATTGACCATGTTACCTGTTGTGTATGATTAAATTTTAGTGTTGATTGACTGTGTTATTATAAACATTACAAGAATTATTTATAATATTGCATCAATATTGACAAAAATACCTATTTTTCTGCATCTACATTTTTTGGTTTTTGTCTGTACATTTGACAGCTTTGCTGCCTTGTGGTAATTTTTTGGTAAATTTTCCAGTTTGCTTGTAAATTCTGTCAAAAAACCTCTAAATGCTAACTTCTTGTTGGTATTATGTCTATCATAGTAATCCTAAACTCCTTTTTAAATCAAAAGGCTAGCCATTCAAGTAGAAATTTTTTTAATTCATAGAATCTCGACATGTTTTAGTTGGATAGAGAACCAGTTTTATTTGTATGTAAAAGATTAATTCCCATTTTAAAGAGCGTTTTATGAAATTGCCATTAATGTAGAGAAAAATGTATTTCAAGTTTTTGATATTTTGTGAAAACAATGCTGTTACTTTTTGTATTTAGTCGGGCAATAATAATTATAATACTAGACTGCAACTGGCTGAAGGAGGATTCCCCTGCAAAATAGGTGTGGAAATGCTCTTACAAGGTCATGTGAAGGTCATGGGTTAAATTTGACCCCATATTCTGAAAGAGCATGTGCGAA